TAAAGACTAAAAAGCCGTTCTGAAGAAATGAGTTTTCAATCTAGATGTAAGAGTGCGCAGGTCCAAATGAGCAGAGCTTTGCTTCGTGTTGGAGGAAAGCAGAATGAGTACCAGGCAACCCCCCCGTCCAGAGGTCCTAAAATGACGAGCCTACTTGCTGTACTGCCATTCTATGATCATCTCGCAATTTCAGGCTGTGCCAAGTGGTGACGGGTTTAACGACACGCTTATATGTGTTTTTTTTTTATAATTTTGGTCGCGAAAGCTCATACGTGTAAACATTTAACGGCGATCCACCGAACCTCTCCTACCTCCGCCCCACAAAGGTATTGGATCACAGCTTTCTGCGCTCTGCGATGCGTAAAGAAACAAGGTGGTGATAAGTATCTGTTCGTGACGCAGGGACCCCCCCTCCACCCACCCTCCCTCCCTCCCTCCACCTGAATGAGATGGGCAGTTCAACACGTGGGGATTCTCACCTGTCCGCGTGGTATGTTTTTTAGTTCGGACCGCCAGGCTCTCTCTCCCTGTCTCTCTCTCTCTCTGGATTTTCCGGGGCGTGCCAGTTACCCACACCACCACCACCACCATCACCCTCCGACATTGCACATCGTTGATTTAGATTGAAATAGCCGAATATTCACGCGCACGCAATGAATTTAGTCCCAGGGTCTCTAATTCAGTATTAAAACATACCGTATATACAGGGAGAGATATGCTCCATCTATAACAGAGATTTGTTTTTGGGTTAGATCGCGTAAATAGAAATGTCTCGTTAAACCCGCCACCACTCGACACAGCCATTTAGTAAGGTTTGTCGCGTAAACAAAAACATGGCAATTCATTACTATAATCTTTGGTTCTTTCTTTAATACCTACGTGACTTTACCGAAAGAACCAAAGAATATGGATTCCTGCAGTCACGAAAGCTTCAAATCAAAATGCATCACTAGTACAGCACACCGGTGTGTTGAAGAGTTAATCGACAACATTTACAATCCGAGTTCTCCTCGCGAGTACTCAGATTGTAAATGTGTTATGTGTGCTCCATGCAAAACCAAATGTTTACACGTTTCACGTCTGCAAACAAGCCACTGAGTCCTTAAGAGTTTTGTTTTCTCAAGATGTGTTTTTATACAAATATACTGTGTTTTTTTGCATGTATATCCGTTCAGGCGGTTGTTTGACCATACTTCACCACGGAGGGTAATGCATTTTTCCCAAGGTCACGAATAGGTGATTCTACTGCGCGGCCTTTCGCGGTTGTGCTGTGGGGTTTTCGGCTGGTATCGCGTGTTGTTCGGCATGATGTCCGACGTTTCGCTGTTACGTCGTGGAAAAGGGGGGAAAGGGGGAGGGGGCGTTTCAGTTTCCCCGAAGAAGCTCCCAGAACTTGGAGAACGCATGCGGTGGGCTTATTGTTATTTAAAACACATCTTCTTCAGTGAGTTTATTATTTTTAGCTTCTCCTTATCTCTTGGCCTTTCCTTATTCTTACAAGGCGCCTTGAGACATTAGTAGAAGGCGCCTTACAAATAAATGTAAGTTATTATTGTTGTTGTTGCGTTGCTGCTGCCGCCTTACAATGTTTCATTTGTCCGTTTCAACACCGGGACCGATCGAACGCGTGAATTCACAAATCAGCAGGGCTACGTGAAACGTGTACAGCTGCTCTAAGCATTTGCGGCCAGCGCTTCGCGACACAACCAGACAATGTATCGCAACGCGGCGACTGAAACCAGAAAGGATATAAAAAAAAAACATCCTCCGTCTAGCCCTAACAGAGTGTGAGCAACAACAGAGTCACGCGGTCACCGCGCCTGCAATGAATTCTGGGCCATCTGCATGAAGCCACCGGTGCAGAGGGACTTCCCTTGCGTCCGTTCTGTCCTCAATCGCCACCGAGATGAGCAGCGATGTCAACTGTGCGGCCCTCGTGGTCACGCAATGCTCGATGTCGAGGGTTACGCGCTCGTCGTGCAGGGTCGTCGTCGTGGTGGTTGTTGTTGTTACCATACTTCAACCCGAGCTGTTCGAACTTCTTGCAGGGTGGCGAGATGGTAACTACCTCGCCTGGTATACAGGAGGTCGTGGGTTCGATCCTGCCCCAGACGCCTGCTGCTGTATATTTGGAGTTTGCGTGTCTCTCTCCCCCGTCGTGGTCGCGTGGAATTTTTTTATCCGTGTCCTTCGTTTTTTTCCCCTCCACATTCAGAAACAACGTGCGCTTAGAGAATATTTGGGCGGCTCTGCATTTTCACGTGACAAGCCACTTCGCTGAGCTATAATTTGCGGCTGACAAAAAAAGAAAACATTCTATCTTTGGGACCTTTTTGTCAGTATCAAAATGATGAAAATGATATTATCAGAGCTTGTTTGTTTTTTTCGCGTTTGCCACAAGTATGTGCGGTTAATGCACACACTTGATGCCTTGCAATAGGTACGTATTTGGTGTTTGAACATCTTGACCCACCTGTTTTATTGCCAGAAAAAATAAAGCCTATTTTTTTTCGCTTTAAAAAAGTTTAGTTTTAATTTTCGAATCTGGCAGCCCCTCCTTCTTTCTTCCCCACTCCCTCCACCCCCCTCCCCTCCCTCCCGCCCCGCTCCCCCCCCCCTCACTCCGCCCCCATCGCTCCTGGGAACCCAAGGTTCTACTTAGGAGCCGTGTTTGGATTAATTCGTGGCTGGTGTTTGGGGAGCCTGGGGTTGTCGCGGTGCGTGCACGCGCGCGCGCGTCATTGCACGGAAGCCAAGATCGCGTTTCGTCAAACCCGCCGCTCGCACCTGTTCAGGTGTGCCCAAGAACCGTGGAGGGAGGGGGTACGGGGTGGGGGGAGGGGGGTACGGGGGGGGGGGCGTTGCCTTCTTGAAGGTATGGCCTTCGTATGTTTATATGTTTATTTAAAAAAAACATAGAATTCTCGCTCGTTTTTTATTTAAATGCCCGTTGCCTAGGGAGCACTCTCTCGCTCACAGCAGGCAAGCCAGCCCGCCGGCACTTTGGTCAACGGGCTGCGATCATGCTGACGAGGCTCAAGATAAGTGGAGCCCCGATGCATTAACTCCTTTTTTTAAAAATCCTTTATATTAAGTTCACTTGCTTGCTTGCGCGCTTACGACCGTGCAAATCTTTCGGTCGTTTCAATCGAGCTGACATTTTGCACACAGACTCGTTGTGCGTGACAATTTATTTTCGTGAAAATGTTTTTCCAAAATTTTCCACTTTTTAGGAAAATTTGTTTTTTCATATTTAATTTAAAATACCAATGTGATAAAAATGAAACTCTTACTCAAGAAAAACAGAAATGAATAATAAAATAAAACCGATGCCACGCATATAAAGAATTTATAGTGAAACACTTTGTTTTTACGGGTTAATTGTTTGAGACTTAAACAAAACGCCACTCGAAGACATCACGAGGGTGTTCGTTTATAATTTGATTTTAAACGGTGCTATTTAATATAGACTGTCCATGTACGCTTCTTACAGACTGTGTATCCACTGTTTATATAGACTCTGCATGCCCATTTAGTACACTGTGCGTACACACATGTGTAAGTAGACTATTCATAGCCAGTGTATGTGCATTTTATTTAGACTGCGTATGCAGGCTTTACTGAGTGATTGAACACTTAGATCGCCAGTGCCGGATTAAGCTAGTGCGTGGTCCTGTAGAAATCTGGTATAAATGTGCCCTAAATTAAAAACAAACACGTAAATATGAAAACACAACTTTTTAATTGCACATTAAGTAATTGCATTTTTTTGTTTTTTGTTTACTATACAGCCAGATAATACCACAAATCGCTAACCTTAAAAACCCAGTCGTTCAAAAAAGTTGAAGGCGGTATAGTACTATAGTAATAGAGCAAGTGCAGAATCACTGTACCGGAATAGATAGCTTGAAGACATTTCGCGCGGGGCCCTTGAAAGTGCGGGGCCCGTAGCATATGTAGCTACTTTTGCTCCTGGGATAATATATTTGCAGAATCATTAATATGCAGCAAAGAGTTGGACGTGGGTGTGCGCGTTGCAGCAACGAGGCTAGTTCACAAGTTACACCTTGCACAAGCTTCGATGCTGCGTTAATTTGTCTGTGTTGCACATTTCAACACTTTTCTTTTCGTCGTTTGTTTTACATCTGTATAAGTTATGCAGCTGGTGTGGGAGCGAGGGGGGGGGCAGTGGTGGAATCTCTCCTCCGACGACTCCACACGCAGTCTCGCTTGCGAGGCGCCCTGCCGTAGCGACGGCGCTCATCACCATCAGCAGCATCACCAGCAGCATCACCAGCAGCAGCGTCATCAGCAGCACCATCAGCAACATCACCATCAGCAGCATCACCATCATCACCATCACCATAATCACCATCATCACAATCAGCAGCGTCATCATCATCTCCAGCAGCATCACCATCATCACCATCAGCACCATCACCATCAGCAGCATCAGCACCAGCATCATAATCATCATTACTATCATCACCACCACCACCATCGCCATAATAAACTTCGCATCCTAAATCTTGCCCCGTAGCATTCCTCACGTCACGTGGCGCGCCGCACCTCTTTATTTCTCAGCTGTGACGCTATCCCGTGACGTCAAAGGAGTAGAGGGGGGGGAGGAGGGGGTGGGGCTGGAGAAAGGTGGAGGGAGGGAGTGATGGGTGATGGATGATGGTCGGGGTGGGTTGGTGGGAGGGGGAGGGTAGTGCAAGCGACATTATTTGTTTTCGGTAACCCAGGGAGATGATGGTGATGAAGAGCGAACAATATAATGGGGGAAGCCTGGTGCAGCCAATGGGTCGTTTTCGTAGTTGGAGGTGGTGGGGGGGGGGGTTATTGGATGATGACCGTGCTGGAGTAGGAGGAGGAGGGGGAAGGGGGGACGTGGAGGAGGAGGGGGAAGGGGGGGCGTGGAGGAGGAGGGGTCTGTCCCTCGTGCGTCGCGCTTGCGCATTTGGAGCATCACACGGGGACTCATAAAAGGGTCCAGCAACGCGCATTCGCACATTCACAGCCGCAGGTAACACCTACCACTACCACCAAGCAACTGAAACACAGCAGAGAGAAAACATTATTACGATTCACAATCAGCGTGTCGCGCGCAAAACCCGTAACACCTTCGTACAGATGTATTATTCACCGAGTTGTCGCCGTTCAAATTAAAAGGAAAATCGACGGCGACGGCGGGAACAAAAAACAACAGCAACAGCAGCAAAGCGCAGGAGATTACAGGCGAATCCACGCTGCGTTCGGATCGCCGGGGACGGAACGGACGTTCGGCTGCTTGCGGAACGCACCCTGCTGCAGCGGCTGCGAGCGCAGCTCTGTAGCAGCAGCAGCAGCGGCAGCAGCAGCATCAGCAGCCTGCTACTGCTGTGTTGCAGCAACTCGAGGAAGAAACTGGGACTCATGGCAGTCGCGGACTCGTCTCTGCCGTCGTTCAACAACTTCTCGAGTCGGGATATCGGCGATCGATACCTTAGCAACATGCTCACGGTGAGTGCCCCACGGCTGCGTTACGTCTCTACAGGTCGCGTGGTTTTCTTGGGTGTGCGCTTGCGATGCCGGGATGGTGTAAATGTCCCGGGTTGTTTGTTGTTGTTGTTGTTGGTGGTGGTTATTGCCGTTGCGAAATTACACGTGTGTTTAATTGCATTAATTCATCGTAAATTGGCGTGTGCATATTTGCGGTTACATGGATAGCGTAAGGATTAGCGGCGACACGGACGATGAAATAGCCTTGAACTGAGATGTACAATCTCTTATAAATAGAACGTAATACTTGAACATTTTACAGCTTTTAATTTATCCTTCTTGTTCTCCAATCCCCTCGTGCATGAACGTCCACCCCTCCCCCCGCCCCCAGGCCGTGTGGGTCATCGGGGGATGTTTAGTCATACTTCACCACGCCGGTCGTTGCTGGCTGATGACCGAGTAGGGAAGGAACGGGTCCAGAATCGGTCTGCAACGGGACTCATAGCGCAGCGTGCGTTAAGCACCGCACAAACTTTACTTAACATTATGCATATATACACGTAATTCATAGCAAACGCATTTTAAAGGAACGCATATATTTACGTGAGGATTGTACCATGGGAGATCAAATTAACTGCTCTCTGGTTGGAAGTATACTTTTTAACGCACTTAAATTTAGCACATTTTATTTTGCAATGCAGATCCTGGTGTAGGTGTGTTTGTAAATACGTGTTGTTGTGTATGTGTGTGTATATATATAACATTTAAAACACGACCCTGACGCCTGCTGTATATTTGGAGTTTGTGTCTGCTCTCTCTCTACGGGTCCTCCGGTTTTTCCTTCCACATTTAGAATAAACACGCTTTTAGAGTATTTGGCTGCTATCCACGTTTACGTAATGATAGGCCAATTCGTTGCGCTAACATTTGTGGCGAGGTCGCTTTTGAAAAAGAGAGTTCTTCAGCTCAATGGGCCTTACTTGGTAAAATTTAAAACGTAAAAAAAAATGGTTTAATAGTCTTGTGGCCGGAACGCATAGGTACGCACATATATACACAAACACACACGTGTAACACGGTCATTCATATGTACATACTTACACCTACACGTAGGGCACACGCGAGAAAAACTGAGTACACAGTAATGCTAATGGAGCGTGAGCATATGTACATACATTGCTGCGCGTGGAGACAAAGGTCGATTGTAACTAATGCGACTAACAATACCGTGCTAATTGTAATTCAACGTCGTATTTGCAACGTTAATACGCGCGTAGGCTATTCGTTAACTGGTGCAACGTGTTTGTAATTTTTTTACGTGATACCATACGAAACTGTTCGTTATGAAGCGAAGTTTTCGGTGATGGATGCGTTGGCCAGTGATGGACACGAAAAGGGGCATTGCCCGAAACGTCGCCCATTATATACGTGTCTTCGTTTAAGGCCGCCACACAGTTTTATTGACTAACTTGTTGAAATTGTTGTTGGTTGTGCCCGCTATGAATACGTGCGGGTGTAATGCGCATGCATGAAATGAATGCACGCGTTTACTCGTTAAGAGTTTAGCGGCTGCTATGAATCTCCACGCGATAAGCCCACTTCGATGCGCTATTATTTTGTGATATCGAGGTCGCTTTTGATAATGAGCGATATAGCTCAGCGGGGTCTTACCTGGTAAAATAAAATAAATAGTTTATGGTTTATACGCGGGGAGTGCCTTGTCTGTCGCCGTGTCTCAAATATCCACTGCGCAGTCGGGACCACCTTGCTCCCGTGATGAATTATTCAAGCGCTGGGTCGCCTCGCTCTTGTGAAGTTTCTCTTCGCTTGAGACGAGCTACAAAACCAGAGTCCAATCGACCCCCATGCCCCCCCCCCCTATCTCGGATGCTCTAAGCGGGTGTTGAACCTGGTTCGTGCTGTGCTTTGGGTGATGGCCCGTGCCAGCGGTTGGTTGGGGTGTGGCCGTGAGCTGGTTCAGATGATTGCGACACAGAAGAAACACGATTCTTGAGCGAGACTGTGCGGAGCTTTGAGCGTCTCTCCTCTCGTATGTGCGGTCTGCATTTTCTCCGGGAGCCAAACCTCGCAATGCGTAGACCTCCTGAAACCTAAGTCCGCGATACTCGGTGATAATTTACCGGATAAATGAATGGCTATTAGTGTCCATATTATAAACCCCCTTATTATATTGTACGTTATTACCACCACCACCGCCACCACAACCATCGTCTCCATCACTACCAGGATCACCAATACATTCGCCACCACCACAACTACCGGGGGCGTTAACGTCGCTACAGCCATAATCGTCGTCATCACAAAGACACCGATTTCCCGTAAAGCATCAATAGGCTGTTGGGGCAAGTGATGCTAGTGAGTACCTATGAAGGCACACGAGGGAGTGAGTGGGTGGCCAGCACCACGCTTGGCCGCCTTTGTCTCCCCGAGTTATATTTTTTTATCTGAACCGCACCAGGTACTCATTTGAGGCCGAGTGAACTTAGGAGAGGCCCAGGATCGGTTCAGATAATCGTCACTGGGTGTCGGTCGTGAGCCAGGTTTCAAAATCTGGTCGCCGGGTTCGTAGCGTAGCGCGCTAACCACTACACTACCGCTCCCCACCACAACCATCAACACCACCACCACCGCCCTTATCACCTCCGATTAACACGGTTAGCTACGTACAGCGCGAAAGAAGTTCTACAAACACACACACACCAAGTATTGTCGACTCTCGTGGCTGACCGCGTTGTGCCGTGTGCGCTCCGCCCTCCCCTCCGCAGCGCTGGAAGGTGGACAGCCCAGCTCCGGTCGAGCGCAAAGAGGACGACGACATCGTGGACTTCATCCTCGCCAACTCGCTCACTCCCATCCCACCGCTCCCCCCAGCGCCGGGGGTATCCTACCCCTTACCCGATACCCCTGAGAGCTGTGGAGGAGGAGGAGGAGGTGGTGGCGGTGGTAGCGGCGGCGGCGTATACTCGAGCTCCCAGCATCAGTCATCTCTGAACGGCATGAGCGGCATCGCCGGCACCGCGTGCGGCGGCGGCGGCGGCGGTTCGAGTCTGGTGGCTGAACTCTTCACGCCGGACCTGCCCTGCTCGTCTCAGTTCCCAGGCTTCGCCGATTTCCACGCCAATTTCGCCATCAAGATGGAGCCGGGAACCCTCGACGTGAGCTCTTGGGAATCAACCTCGACAGCGAGCGCCCAGCACCAGCAAGTCCACCACCACCATCACCACCAGCAGCAGCATCATCATCAGCAGCAGCAGCAGCAACAGCAAGCGCCGTCCTTTCGCGTAAAAGTGGAACGCAGGGAGACGGCATGTTACCAGCAGAAGCCGAGTGCATCGTCTTCATCGTCAACCTCCTTTCACCTCGCTTCGACACAATCGCTGCCGTCCCACCTTCCCGATCAGCGCAGTGCGCTACCACAATACCTGGTCGCAGGTCAACAGCAGCAGCAACATCAGCTGCACCTTCAGCATCATCATCAACAACAGCAGCAGCAGTATCAGCAGTACACGCTTCAGAGCTGCAGCTACAGCGGGCGCTACCCTCCGCCCTACCACACGCACATGCAAAGCGTGGCCGGACTCCTGCAGCAGGTGACGTCCTCCGCGTCCACCGCGAACCCCTGCACGCCGCCCACGTCCCCCTCGCTGGGGGCTCGACCCGCGGGCTCTGCGGCGTCGGCGGTCGCCGCGGGGACCGGCGAGGCCGAAGCGAGGCCCCGCCGAGGGCGGAGGGCGCAAGGTGGTCGCAGGAGGTTGGCGTGCCACACGTGCGAGTTCCCGGGGTGCGGCAAGACTTACACCAAGAGCTCGCACCTCAAAGCTCACCTGAGGACACACACAGGTGAGCGTGGAGATGACGACGATGATGATGATGATCGTGATGATTGAATAATTGGGGGGGGGGGGGGTTGAGAAAAAAAAATCGCATCGCAACATCGGCACCTCTTTCCACCTCCCGCCCTCCCATCCGCCCACTACCGGCAGACGTAATGTTTGCACCGGACGTAACCAACAGTGATAATTAATCGGAGGTGCGTGCGGGCGAATGGCAACAAACTAAACGCGCACACAAAACATTTCTAAAGAAAATACATTTTCAGTCTGGGAGATGTTTAAGTGAATAGCTCCCCCAGTGGCTTCCGAATATCGGAAGGAAGGGCGTTCCAGACGGCCGCAGAAGCGCGTCCGAGAGCGCGCGATGCAGTGGCCGTCTCTGTTCGAATGTTGCGTGAATGCGCCTTGGTGCCGCACAGGGATGGCTGCCACTGGACGGCCCCCTTGGCTAGACTGCAGCAGTGCATTCGTAATTGTTCAAATCAAATGCGCTGTTAGGGACTTTGAATTGGCAAGGAATTTAAGTGACTTATGAATTAAACTCGTTTCTATCGATGTTTATCATCGTTATCCACGATCTGTCCCCTCCAAGCCGTTGCCACAGACCATTGTGCGATTGATGTAGCAATCCAAATATGTGGTGTTTGACCATACTTCACCACACCGGTCAGTGCGGTTTTGTGAATCTGGGAAACGCGCACGACCGGTTTACGTTACCGCTTGTTATTGATGTTAGCCTGGGTCGGGGTTCAAACTCGCGTAGCTGGGTTCGCGGTGCAGTGGCGATGTACTCACTGCGCCGCGAACCCGGAGGTATTCATTACGTCCAGAGTAGCGAGTTGTGTGTGCGTGTGTGGGGAGCGGTAGTATTGTGGTTAGCGCAGCGCTGCGCTACGAACCCGGCGACCCGGGTTCGATTCCCGCTCACGGCCAGCACCAGTGATTATTATCTGAACCGGTCTTGGGCCTCCCCTAGGTCGACTCGGCCTCAAATGAGTACCTGGTGCGGTGTGTAAACATCGCTACTGGGGAGACAAAGGCGTTCGGGCGTGGTGCTGGCCACTCACCCCCTCGTATACCGTTCCGGCCTTCATAGGTGCTCGCTAACAGCACTTTCCCCTCGAGTCTTTTAAGGCTATACGGGGATCTTTGTGTGTTTGTGTGCGTGCGTGTGCTTATTAATTTGTGCTTCTGCGCCAATGTGAGGCTCGGTGGAATTAGTCAAACACTCCCAAGGCAGGGACACAATAACAACCGCATTGCATTCGTAGAGGGCCTTCCGCCAAAGCACAACAATCCATTCGTACAGACGTTATTGTTAAGTGACTCTTTTCAAAACGTGTTTTGTAATCTAGCGGCTAAATAATGCCACGTTATTACCAATAACGTCTGGAAAATCCGGTAGCATTTATTTTCAAAAGCGCCAAACTAATGGGAACCACAATGCACAACACCAGTCCAGAGTTTGCCTGATTAAAAAAAAAACATGCTTCTGGGTGGTATAGGCCTCGAAAGCTGAAAAAGGCTGGAGAACTAAAATATATTCAATTCGCATTTTGAAGACCCGGAATGGATTCTACTTGTGTTAATTAAACCACGAATAACCATTCAACACCATTTGTCAAAACCACCTGTGGTCTTAACATATATGTAGCAAGTAACGTTTCGGGAAAGGCCCCATTGTTCATAGCACATCATGAAGGGTCGTTTATGTGCTGTGAATAAAGCACATTGCCCGTCAATTCACCGATTATATATAATTGTTTTCATTTGAAGGCCACACCCAGTGCTGTTGTTGTTCTTGACGGGTGTGATATTTATTTTATGTTACTGTTACTCGTGCATATACGCCAACTGCCAGTACAGAAGCAACAGCATCACCAAAGAATAAATATAATCAAAACTTCCGCCCAGGAATCGAACGTCCTCAAAATAATATAATTTCTTTTTTTTAGTTGTTTGAAAGTTACACATCTATTTACGGGTTTTTTCCCTTTAAAATTAATTTATGTTTTAAATGATATTCGTTCGTCGCTGCGTTGCTAATAAAAAGCAAACGCATTTACGTTTCCTTAGAGGAATAAAGTAACTTTCCATTAACTAGTCACTTTGTTATAAACATGCTTTTTTAAAAGTAACGATTTGTCAACAATTGGCTCTTCTCTCGGGGAAGGATTTATGGTTCGGGTGTATATATATATGTTGTCTGTGTTGTATCGTGGGATATTCGCTTGCCATACGATTCTACTATTAAACTGCAACGAAACTACAAGGCCTACTTATTCCGGGAGAAGAAACCCCCCAAAACAAATCGGAAAACGAAAAAAAAATTTTCCGTCTTATTTTCACTGCTCCTACATTAAGCGTAACGGCAAATTTAACGTAAACTATTCTGCAAGTGAAGACAAGCTCCGTAAAATATTTGACGACTGTAATTCAGGGTGTTTTAAATTGATGGACCCAATGTTCAAAGCAAAGCGATTTCAAATCGGGTCCATTTTTTAGAACACTCTGTAATATGCACGCTGTGGTATACCTCGTTTGTTATGATGCACGTATTCAATAATTACATCGAGGCTACACTTACCGACAGTACCGTCACTTGCTATAATAATAACAACAGTAGCAGCAGAAATTACGAATCGTATATACAAATTGTTATTAATGATAGATGCTATACGGTAATTACGAATGGTACGTACGAATGATTACGTTCGCCGCTTGGGTACAATTAGCATAATCCATTCGACGCAAACTCGTGCCTTGGCCGGGTATTCATTCCCTCCTGAGACTCGCGTCGAATTCACGGTCACGTGATGCGCTATGTTCAAAACGACAACCACAATGGGTCTGCGGTGCTGCTGCTGCTGCGTCGGACTTGTTGCGCGATTGACGAACAACAGCTGCACACATTCCTCAATAACACCGTGGCCTTGAACGGACACTTATATTCACGTGCTACGAAAAAAGGGGCAATTTGCCCGACACGTCATCTATTTACATTTATAAAAATCTCTATAGATATATTTCGATTTAAAGCTTTCGTGACTGCAGGGATTCATCTTCTTGGTTCTTTCGGTAAAGTCACGTAGAAGGGAAATAATAAAATAATAAAAATAAAACACAATAAAATTAAATTCTCACGACGTTTTTATTCTGTTTTATTTTTATTATTTTATTATTTCCCTTCTACGTGACTTTACCGAAAGCACCAAGAAGACTCTATAGATATGTTTCTATGTCAAGCACGGTTGACTACGTACGGTGCGAAATAAGTTCAACATAGTACACACATAATACATACAAGGCTACAGTGTTATTGCAGAATTAGTTTTTTTAAAGTTTCTAATACATATATCTCGGTACGTGATTGGTACTGAACACGAGTGCGCGCGGGCTGTGTGCCATTTTAGGAATCAAGGTGGCTTCGGGAAACGCACTTTGCTGGACCAAGGTGGTGTGCAGGCGCGTAGAGACGAGTTTACATTGTAATGGGGGGGGGGGAGGGGGGGTGTTGTTATGTAGACAAGCCGGAGGGGGTGGGAGTGATTAAGGTGAGAACGGTGGTGCAGCGGTTAGCTCACGGCGCTACAAACCCGGCGTACCGTGTTCGACTCCCGCTCAAGGCCACCAGCAGTGACGATTATCTGAGTCGGTCCTGGGGCCTCCCCTAGGTCGACTCGGCCTCAAATGAGTACCTGGTGCGATGCGTAAACATCGCCGCGAGGGAGACAAAGGTGGCCGGGCGTGGTGCTGGACACCCACAGCCTCGTGCGCCGTTCCGGCCTTCATAAGTGCTCGTTAACTGCACTTGCCCCAACAGTCTGTTAAGGCTATCAGGGGGGTCTTTGTATTTGGAGGGCACAGCTTATGGCTTTTCCTTCGGGTTTTCATCCAGGTCTGTAGTGGATATATTCTGTGTCTCGTCTGCCGCTGCTGGTTGTACTAAAATCAGGATTCCCTCTAAACTAAAGTGTCATCACTTCAGTTTGGAGGTCGTCTTTGCTTTGTCCATCGACTGAGATCTGGTTGGGTGTTAGCCCAGATCGGAAGTTCGGCATGTGTGTCTGTATTTAGTTTTGCCGTCGCACGGTAAAAAAAAGTGTGTGTTTGTGGAGCGGTAGTGTAGCGATTCGTGCCGCTGCTCTTTGAACCCGACAACCTGGGTTCGATTGCTGCTCACATAGCTCACATCGATGACGAATATCTGAATATCCTTAAATGCGTCTCGTTGTGCCACCGACCCCCACATGAGAAGGCCGTGCCGTGCCGGCCTTCACATGTGCCGTGCCGACCTTCACATGTGCCGTACCGGCCTTCACATGTGCTCACCAACAGCACTCGCCGCAGCGGTCTATCGCCAGGTTTGCAGGAACACGTCGGAGAAATGGCCCAAGAATTCTAATCAAAGTTGGTACTAAATTTTGTTATCGTGCAGTTTCGGTTACTTTTGTTTTACCCTTTACCCACACTGTGTTTGTTTCTTTTCAGCGGCCGCTAGTGGCTTTTATAACTCCCATTGCTTGCCAGCCATCACTCTCCGCCTCTTCGCAATTTGCCTATCTTTAAATTTTTTTCTCTAAATCTTCACGTTCAAATCGAGCCACGACACACACACACACTACACGCTACACGCACCCGATGGTTGGTAGAGGGCGCGAATCTCTACCCGTGGGTGTTGGTGGGTCGCGAGGTGCCGAGTCGAGACGCTGTCACCGATGAGCGCGGGGTGAGCAGTTACTCGGCAACGTTTATCCGAGTCGAGGCTAGTTGGGGGTGGTTGATTGTGTGGGTGGCTGTATATTGGGTGGGTTGGTGGGTGAGCCAGTGGACTGCTGCTGTAGCAGTAGTCACGTGGCGACTTATTTTAATTTCTGCCGGTGAATCGATCGACGCGGGAATTGCCCTCGGTTGATTTTTGGCGACTTGCACATCCGTCCGTTGCTGTGTGTAACAGATGGCCGCGTCTGTACACGCGTATGATATGATAATAATAACAATAACATTAACAACCTTTGTTGTCGCCTTTCCTCTCTGTCTCTGCAGGCGAGAAGCCGTACCACTGCACGTGGGAAGGCTGCGGTTGGAAATTCGCGCGCTCCGACGAACTGACCCGCCACTTCCGCAAGCACACAGGGATTTAGGCCCTTCCAGTGCCACCTGTGCGAGAGGGCCTTCTCTAGGTCGGACCACCTGGCCCTTCACATGAAGCGCCACACGTGAGGATGAAGGTCCCGCGCCACGCCTGCCCGCCCTTTAAACTCACCCCTACTCCATCCCCGTCTATATCCTCCCCCATCCCGTCTTCCATGGACGCTGCCTGATTTAAGTTGTCACCACTGGACCAGTGAGACGCCTTAAGACTTACGTTCTCAGTAAGATTCGATATCTATTATAAATAATTTAGTGTAAGAGAATTTTTTTTGACACATGTCTGCATTGCAAAAGAGATTTTTGCATCTCGATGGGAAGTCTCTTCCAGTAAGGACTCCATTGCCTTATCGTAATGTTTTTTGTATATAATGTTTAAAAAAACAAAACTTGTAAATATGAAAAAGACGACTCTGCCATCCCCTGTTGAGGTTCTTTTGTTGAATTGGTTAAATTCACAACACGCTTTGGGGGTTCTGATTCGCTTGTCTGATGTTTGTGTCCGGTGCTTCTGCAATACCCATTGAGACACAACGCAACGTCTTTATTATTCATACCGGTCGGGTGTTCACGGCCGTGCTGTGGTCACCTCTCCGATGCGCGACTCCGGGTTGTGCACCGCGTGTTGTTCGGGCACGATGTCCGACGTTTCGCTTCATCAAGAAGTGAATTCTCTTAGAGGACGCCGAACGACACACGCATGGGTACATATCCAAACACAGCAGAGTTCCATACATACACAAACAACAACAACAACAACCGCCTTTCACCACTAAGTGGTGGTGATGCTTGTGCCATGCTAGATGCACTTGCACACACATATATACACACGGGGAGCCGTCAAATCCACGTATGAATATGGCTCATGACGGTTACTCGGGATGCAATTGTGTATCGAGCAGCCAAACGTATAATTTTTAACTCCACCATATCACACAGCGATACGTGTGAATATAAATGTCATTTTAATCCTGATGGGTTCCATTCACGCGAGCACTGCAGCCGCTGGAGGCCGCTATAATTCACCGCGATGTAAAAACAACAAGAACAAAAATATCTAATCGATGTTACGCATATCGAACCGCTGAACCGAATCCGTAGGATTCATCGAATCGCCGGCGAATCGAAAGTTACACCTCGAGTGAGAACGTATGTGTGGCGCTGAAGGCAGCGGGTCAAATTCTTATCACAGTTGACGAGTCTCTGCGGTGTTTTAAAACAAAACGATGACAAATCTCATACGCCTTTTGAATGCCCCCGTGTGTGTACGCGTGTGTGAGTGTGTGTGTTTGTCTCGGTGTCCCAGTGTGGCACAGTACGAGCGAGCAGTGTTTTGAGTAATTGTAGACGAGACTTAACATAAAAAACCGTGCCTTCTCCAATAGTGTCCCAGCGGTTCACAGCCATAGCAATGTGGAGTGGGGGTGGGGGGAGTGAGGAATCTGCGAGTATAAATATATGTAGAGCACCAGCGAGGCGGAGCGCTGCTCCATTTGTACGCAGCACACCACGTGGTCTGTTGCACAGGCAGCTTATTCGGTTTCTTCTTAGTACGTACAATGATGCTGCTTTAATGCAGCATCATTGTACGTTTTGTTTTCACGAGTGTCTGTGATTTATATATATATATTTTATAATGAAGGCGCTGGGATACTGGAAAAGAAAAAGAAAGTATTTGGAAAGACAATTACTTGAAGTGTCGCGTGCACAGGGTATGGCTACGGAGAGGTGTTGATGTTGTTGCCACTTTGCGCGCCGCTTTCGCAACGAAGGGGGCGCTTCATTTCAGCCGGAACTGTCCCACCGGGGGATTCAGTCCCCGGGAAATATTCATATTCACCCCCCCCCCCCTAAAAAAAAACTGAAATGAAGCACTGCGGTAAGGTTTATGAACGCGTGTCTTCTATATTGTTTAAAGATGTAGTGCCCAAAACGGTAACCAAGACGGGTTCACTGGTGTTAACGGACGACACTGTACAATCAATAACAAAAACACAATCGTTTATATATATATTTTTTCCCTTTTTACTGTCAAAGTAATGTCCCACCGTTAGAAAATTCTGCAATCGGTCAACCGGTAGGTCGCGTGTGAGTGGGTGGGGTAAAATGTGGGCATCCTCCCCACCCCCCACCTCTTCCAAGACGTGACCAGCGTGGAAGGTTAGTCCCCCAAAAAAATCCATTTTCGATCCTTGTGCCAGTAAGTGGCTGCACCTCCTAAGAATTACCCCCTCCCCACCTCCCCCCACTCCTGCCCAGAGGGTGGGGGTCAGGGAGTGCGCGGCGCCTTACGGAATTTAAATCTCCGTCTTTTGTGAAGCACCGTGGCTCTGTCACTGGAGGACCCTACGAACATGACAATGGTATCAATTAATTCGCTACCTACCGGCTCGCGGGGAGGCCATAAGCGCAGTTACACCGCCTGCGCACTCAATAACTACCTTCTGGCCATTGCTGCATTACTTTTAATTTCGTTCACCTGAACCCTCGATCAAAGGCCGTTCGGTATCAATTGAAATACCACACTGCATCCCCTTGGGGCCTTTAACAACCTCAATGATGGTAACGATAATAATACCAACAACGATAATGATGATTATAACAATACTAACAAATGCGCATCTACGTAGACGCAGCGGCGGCATTGCTGCTCTGCAGAGTCCTGCCCGCTGCCACGCGTGTTCCCATCGCCACGCACAAGCAACACACGACGGGACAATTGTGTTGCACAAACACAATCGTCGCTTACAGAAGGGGCGAACGCGACTTCGCGCCGGCGTGCGCTGTAGAGGTTTTTTTTTACCAACCGCCCCTTTGTTTTTTTTCTTTTACAAAAGGAATAATAAAATAAATTAAATATAAATAAACATCCCACAATAAACATCCCGCGACGCGGAGCGGACACACTGCTAATCATTTACAAACTTTTTTTTTTAAACCTGCGCAAGGTACAATGGTGGCTACTTCCCACCTCCTTTCCAACGATCGTGGAAGAGTAGACCACATACCGTCTAGAGAGGAACTCTCCATCCGCCAGCAGTGGCGTGAGTGAGCAATTGCAGTCACTGCGCCTTAACCGATACCTGCGCGCTCACAACTCGCGCGCACACACCTGTGTTGCGAGAGGCGGGTTTATTACAGCCGCAGGCTGAAAGGTGATGGTGCCAGGATCGACTGGGTCTGGCCGGTTTAATTGGATTCCGGCTGACACAAGAATCCCGTCTCCATTTAACAGCCGAACAGATCGCCCGTCTCCGTCGTTTCAGACGGAGTGCTCTTACCAATAACATCTGGGAAACCGGCAGCATTGGTTTGAACAAGTCCTGACTCTGCTGATGAGACGCGCAAAGGTCGAACGCGGTTCAGAGTTTGCTTGCGTTTAACACAACGTTGCCGGCCCACGTTGGGGTGCTTTAAATAAAACGCACGTATAACAACAATATAGATTTAATCTTGATTTTAATCTTGATTTATCGGTGGAGACAACGGGATTCTGTACATCAGTCTTCTACACTCGCCAGTCTATCGAGGCCCGGTTTCGTTGGGTGTCGGCCTTTCCTCTACGATTCTTGGCACGTATTCATCACCGCTCAAGAACAACGTGTTGGTGTATTTCTGCCGTTGTTGTTAACGTGGTTTCACGTCTCTCTTGTCAAGTAAAAACAAAAAAAAGACTGGGTACGTTTTGTAATAATACGTTTTTTTTATTTTTTACCAGTTCCTGTCGATCAAATGTATATTTCTGTGTTGTGGCAATGCAATGCGCGTGACCGGGTAGAGGAGTTGCTCTGGCGTCTAACGTTGAGTGAACGTTTCGTGACGGACGTTGAACGTGCGAAACGCGCAGGAGATGTTTTGCTGTTGCTACGCGTTACATCGTTGAGTTCGCCGATCTTTACGCAGAGAGGAATATGACTTCGCGTTTGAAGCTTTCGTGACTGCAAGGATTCATACTCTTAGTTTTTTCGGTAAAGTCACGTAGGTAAAAAATGAAATTAAAATTAATAAAAATAAAATAGTAATAAAAATCACTATTATTATTTTATTTTTTATAAATTTTAATTTCATTTTTTACCTACGTGACTTTACCCAAAAAACTAAGAGTATGACTTCGCGTGTTTAAAAAAAAAAATTCTTCTCGGGGAGGGAGGAGGTGTAAGCTATGGAGAATGTATATCCAGTCGATTCGCTACTGTGTTGAGCACCGTGTGCCTTTTTTTGGGGGGGAAGCGGACAGGGGGGGGGGGTTGCTATCTCTAAAAAAATCTAATAAAAACGCTCATTGTTGTACAAGCACAAATAATTGAAACAAACTTACGTACAACTTTAAAATTCACATTGCCTTAAACCAGCGTGGTGAAGTATGGTCAAACCAAACTAACTCGCCGTGCGCCACGCACAACTTGGGGTGTTGGTAGGGTGGGGAGAAAGAGGCCTTCATCCAGCAGTGCTTTTTAATAGAGGGCTGTAAATTATTACAATTGTTACTTTTTGATACACGGTATAGGAAGTAGATAGTGCGTTCGTTTACATAGGTTCTGACACACGGTGCCCGAATGCTCACAAAGCCTTGCTGTTGTCGTCAATTTGCTTGAGTCGTCACTTATCATTGCAGTGTGCTGGGTGCAGGGCGCGCAGTGCTTTGGTTTGACAGGGAGTGGGGTGCTTGAGCCCATGAGCTGGGCTTTCTGTCGTGTCACTGGGGGGGCCCCCTTGAACCTCTCCCCTCCTGCACAATATTGCCCCCCCCCCTCCCCCGCCCGCATCACCACAGACATCTTCCATGTGGCTCCACGTTCACGTCTCGAGCCAAAAGGTATCTATCGAATGAGCTCTCGGACTCTCGTGCAATAATAATTATAATAGATAATGTTATTTCTGTCTCACGGGGCCTTTATGATCAACATCTATTGTATACAGTAGAGATGGTCGCTGTTATTTATATATAGTATATGCGTGTGTGCAAATTATAGTTCTATTGAATTATCGCGGTAGCTTTAATACAAACGGTATACGCTGTACAGAAGAGCATTTTTTGTTTGTTTGTTTTACTATTTGTTTCTGGTTTTAAAAATGAAATAAAAACGAAAGAAAAAAAAACACATTAACCTTGCGACGACTTCATTTGTCCGGTGTTATGAAACGGTGTTCATTTTAGCCAGAGGGGGGGGAGGAGGTCTTACCGAGTCCCGAAAACGCTCTTTCAGGAGGCTCGTGCTCGATCATTTGGAATGTTCGGCCGAATCGGGAGTAACATTTGAGAGAACCGAACCCGGGGTGACACGCAATGCTGCCATCTGCTGGCCACACTTCTCAACCGCACACCGACGGCACCTGGCAAGCCTCTGGTGGTGGGGTCACCCATCTGAGTCCGACTCAACCCCCTGCTGATGAAGAGACCCCTCGACCCGCACGGTGTGGTGAGGCCCAAACCTCGTCCAGTAGGGCATTGGTCAGAGGAATGGTGATGCACTTGTTGCTATAGATTCATTCTAAAGCAAGGTAAGTTACAGGTGTGTGAATTTCAAATCTGTAAATCGCGACAAATACCATCCCAAGAGAACAAATTAACGCAGGACGAAAGAAAAACAAAAACGGTCTCCGCCGTCTACGGGAAACCACCATTTTGAAAGAACTCCACTGTGGCCATTTTTTGGAGACCACACGGCTACCATCCAGTTCTCATGAATATTGTTGTTGACTGTACGTGTGCATTGCCCTCCGATGTATTTGTGCACGTGCTGGGAGATTATTGATGAAGCGAATTCGGTTCTTCGACCATACTTCACCACGCTGGTCAGTGCGGGCTTACGTTGGCGGGTAGCATAGACGTTTGGAGCATTCGGTTTCGCGCGGGGAGGGAGCGGAAACGTCGGACGTCGCCGCCGAAGGAACGAGGACAACACGAAAATACAGCGGTGAGCAACGCATCGCAACCGCTGACGCCTACGCAAGTCGCACGCGTCTTTCGCATGTTGTTTGTTGCTGGTGACAATTTTCAGTTTCCGGTTAACATGCGGTCGACCGATGCCATCAATTTACGCGGTGAACGTGCGGGGAGGGCATGGGCTATTTTTTGTTGTTGTTGCAACTCTGGCGAGCAATAGCTTGCAGGTTATTGCCATTACAATTTGAATAGAAGTCCTCGCGCTCACACGCATCTATGCACGCAGCGTTTCACCCCTGGGCCACCTGACATTTAATTTGAAATTCCAAATATAGGTGGCGGTTGTCATGAGGACGTAACGTGGCGGTGCGGATCAATTGTGTGCAAAAACATTGCTTCACGTTGCATGGCCCAGCAGGATGATTATTTATAAATATAAATATTTAATAATGTTTTAATCCTTCATGTAAATTGTATTTCACAATCGCCGAAAAAAGCACAGACGCTGGAAGGCAGTCAGGTGCCGAAAAAAAACCCGATCCTACGCTCTGCAATCCTCTAAATTTATAAAAATGTTGTCATCCGATTAATGTGTGCTAATACATGGATGGATTATCGAGTGGATGGATTACAATTGGGACTTCAAAACGTTGCAATGAATCTTCAAAAGTGATGGAACGCAAAAGGTTCAGGCCTGCAATGCCTCCATCCTCCCCATGATGGCAGAAGGGCCTCCATTGTATGGAGTTCAACCCCTCTCGATGAGTATTTGGCCTACTCTTCCAGCCGTCAAGGAAGAAGTGTAAGCACCCACACTTTACCCTATCACACATGACCAGGATGAAACCCATGTATATTGCCGGTTCGACAAACACACGGTGGGGGCGAGGCTGGGTGGGGGTGGCTGTCGGGGGGGGTAGAAGAAATACGACCAGCCGGTGAACTCGTGAATTTCAAGGCCAGTGCGCGAACCCATGACATCACGCTCGCCTGTAGCCCGGCACTGTGGAATCAGCGAGTGTTGGTAGATCACCGCACAGATGTTACGAAACTCCCCTCCCGTGGGTGGCCGTTGAGGAAGAGCGCGAAAGCCTCCTACGTGTTTAACAAAACAGTGCTTTGTTCATTACCCCAAGCAAATTGACCTCACTTATTTTCTCGGCGTAGTTCATCTCTGTCCCCCCCCGCTCCTCTTTTTTAAATCCTTTATATTAAGTTCGCTTGCGCGCTTGCTTGCGCGCTTACGACCGTGCAAATCTTTCGGTCGTTTTTTAACCCACTTCCCGTGATCCAATCGAGCTGACATTTTGCACATAGACTCGTTGTGCGTGACAATTTATTTTCGTGAAATTATTTTTCCAAAATGTTAAACTTTTTAGGAAAAAAAATTTCATATTTAATTTAAAATACCAATGTGATAAAAATGAATCTCTTACTCAAGAAAAACATAAATGGATAATAAAATAAAACCGATGCCACGCATATAAAGGATTTATAGTGAAAAACTTTGTTTTTACGGGTTAATTTTTTTAGCAGTGGGGATGGGTGACATGGGCGTGTGACTACTCACGCAACATTCACGTTTCTCCACACACACGCAACACAAATCACACGTCAGAAAACACAGCGAGAAATGTCACCGATAAAAGGTGGCTTGGACACTCAGGACGGAAAAATATCGCTCGCGAGTGGTTCAATTCTTTGTGAGAGTGGCGTAAATCTGTAGACACGCACGGGCATCGATCCCGTCATTTGCTGCAGTTCATTGTGCGTGCCTTGAACTTCTTTAGCACCCTACGTGGCCAACCGAGCGCAGAGCCTGGCATTTACACAAAAAAACAAATCGGCGCGTTCGTCAATCACACAAAGGCCTTAAAGTACAAAAACATTATATGCGACTTTTCTGGCAATGGTGCAAAATGGGCCACTTTTTTTTTTTTTAAATAAAGGACTATTACCCGAAACGTCTTGAAATGTATTTATTCCATGTGCTTGTGCACTACTTGCCAACGCAAGATCACCAGATAATTAGTTTAATATTTAGAAAACACACGTAATGAGTGGCGATTGGGGGGAGGTGGGGGGCTTCATCCAGCAGTTGATTGCCTCTGGCTGCAACTGCTGCTGATGATGATGACCAGTGCGCGTGTTGTGTCACGCATACAGCCACTTGCATTCGATTTCCGGCCACGACGAATCGTCATTGGCACAATAATTATCAATTGTTTGACCCTTTACTGGGAAGTGCCGATGTCTCATTATGAACATGTTACATTCCCCTCCCCCCCCCCCCCCCAAGTGTCGTTCCTCTGACTCCCACCCGGCTCCGTGCTTTCACGTTTACCAATGTTCGTGCCAACACCGCTCAAGTCGTCGCACGATGCACGTGCGTAATCATTGATGAACAGCAACCCTGATTGAAATTACGATAGATCCTCCTGTGTGTGTGTGTGTGTGCAAAGGCCGTTCCTAGGATACGGCGAATCGGGGCGATAGCCCTGGGCCCCGCGCTTTGGGGGGGGGGGAGCCCCGCGCATCGACGCCACGGCGTCAGATGTAATAGCAACGGGGCCCACACTGTGGTGACTTGCCCTGCACGTTGAACTTCTCGGCCACTGTACGTAGCCAATCGTGCGCATCGGAGGTGCGTTTGAATCATCTGTAGGTCAAGTGGGACACACAAAAGAGAAAGATCCCCCCCCCGTATAGCCTTCGACAGACTGTTGGGGCAAGTGCTGTTCGCGAGGACACCGATGAAGGCCGGCACGGCGCACGAGGGGCTGGGTGGCCAACAAGCACGCCCGGCCGCCTTTGTCTCCCGAGTGACGATGTTTACCCAACGTACCAGGTACTCATTTAAGGCTGAGTCGAGGTAGGGGGAGGCCCATGACTGGTTCCGATGATCGTCACTGATGTTGGCCCACGAACCGTGATCACCATCCCAATTTTAATCAGCCTTCTCGATGCCGCGTGGGAGGCGGTAACCAATCATCAGACAGGTGCATTGTGTCAGGGCGCGGGGGGGCGGGGGGGGGACGCGGGGGGGGGGGGGGGGGGACGCGGGGGGGGGGGCGGGGGGGCGCGGGGGGGGGGGGCGGGGGGGGGGGGGACGCGGGGGGGGGGGCGGGGGGGGGACTGGATGGCGCGCCGGTTCGAGGCTGCCAGGAGCGGCGGCGTGGGTGACGGTACGGGGGGTGGGGATGTCTGGTTTGGGCAGGAGACGCGCGCGTGTGTTGAGTTGAGCATCATCATCATCATGGGGAGCGGTGGCGCAGCGGTGAGCGCGCCGCGCTACGAAGCCGGCGGACCCCGGTTCGATTCCCGCTCACGGCCAATACGAGCGATGATTGTATAAACCGGTGCTGGGCCTCTCCTGGGGTCGGCTCGGCCTCAAATGGGGACCTGGTGCGATGTGTAAACATCGCCACTTAGGGTGACAAAAGCGGTCGGCCACGGTGGTGGCCACCCACCCCCTCGTCTGCCCTTCCGGTCTTAATAGGTACTCGCTAACAGCACTTACCCCAAGAGTCTGTTAAAGCTATACGGGGGATCTCTATCTTCGTGTGCATCGTCATCAACCGCATACATTTTATTACAATTATGTATACTATACTGTATTAGTCTATGGGCTTTAACAGAAATTGGTACCACCAAAGGTAATAACAATAGTAGTGCCAATGTTTTGACGCTGCTAATACCGGTGGAGTATTTGACCTCATTTCAAATGGTTATATAATTCACTGGAATTGGCCACGTAAATCAATGGGAACCACTAACGTTATGCAACCTCGGGTGGTACAGACAAGTAAGACATCTTCTCTGGGCTCATGGGCTATATATTTTACCGTACTCGGAGATACAAGCTCGTGAGCTGTGTGATGGCATCGCTGTTGCGAAATTCTCTCCACTTCGATCTGTCCAGACCCCAAAAAAAAAATCCACAAATCGACCGCGTGAGTGGCCTCCACGTGTCCTCTCAAGCAGCTCGGAGGGGGTGAGAGGGAATGAGAGATGGACTTGGAGTGAGATGCAGGGTCGATTGGTGAAACGTGGAGAAGAGGGAGAGTGAGGGCGAGAGATGGACTTGGAGTGAGATGCAGGGGATATGGGTAGACGTGGAGAGAGTGAGTGCGTGCACGAGACTGAGAAGAGGGAGATGGGG